CCCAACAGGGACCTACAGACTTTGGAGCCCGAAAAAGGGAACTGAGCTGATAAGCACCTTGACCTTTGAAGTCAAGGGAAACAAACTGTGCTGAGAAGCAGCCTGCCTTTCCTCTGACCTCCAAAGATAGGATAAGCAGATTCTACCTGATAACCAGAGATTTTAGAAGCTGTTTTTCTCTCATCTTAAGAGGGAAAAAGTAAACACTTCCACACCCTAATCCCACCTGCTTCCTCCTCCCTGATTTCTCCCCAAAACATTTCCCCTTCCACACCCTAAAGCCCCCATATATAAAGTCCCAGCTCACAACCTGTGGGCGGACATCTTTCTTGGACATCTTTCCCTGACACTCTTCCCTTCCCTTCCCTTCCCTTCCCTTCCCTTCCTTTCCCTTCCCTTCCCTGACATCTTTCCCTTCCCCGAGGGAAATGTGCCCTGTGAGAAATAAATCTGTATTCCTCTGAGAATTCCATCTGTGCCTCGGTGCCTCATCCATCCACTCGTGCTCTCCACTGTGCTCTCGCCAACATTTTTACCTGGTTCCACCAAGATCCGGAGGACTTCTGGGCCCGGCAGCTTTGGGAAACTCTGAGAAGGGAGCTGCCCGGGAGTATTCTGAGGACTCCCCAGTAGGGGACCTGCATCAGCTTTGGCTGTCAGGCAGTACCAGCAAACTCCCTGAGAGGGGACTTGCATCAGTCCCGGCTGCTTCTGCTTCCCCAGTCAGACCTCCGGTTTCTCCCCCCTACACCACCGGCAAGGTAAGAGAGTGCTCGAGAAAACACTTTTGTTTTTGGTTTCTCTCCTGGTTTTGGCTAGCCGGCGATCTGTCACCATCTGGTTCTGGGCTCTGATCAGAGAAACTAGGTGGGAAGCTGGACGCAGCAAATCTCCCCCTAGTTGGGTTCCGGAGGAGACGTCCCTGGACCCACCTGGCTGTGAGCCCAAAAGCTTGTCTTTTGGGACCTGGATTTGATGGCAATCTGGTTGATGTTATTTGTCTGTGCTTGTCTTATTCTGTGTTTTGGTCTTGTATCTGTGTTTTTCGTGGGTGCCTGTGCTGAGATCTCAAGCAATTCTGTCATGTATGTCTATGATTATTGTCTTCGTACGTTTCCATCAAAAACCCTAAATATCTTTATTTTATTGGCTGAACTGGTTGTTTAAGGTCCTTATTTATTACCTTTTGGTTTGGGTTTGCTTTCATAATATCTCTTTGGTTTGCTCATTTTGAAAATATTTTGGGTTTGACATTCTTGGTCTAGTTTATATTGCTTTCAGACCTCTAAAAGCTTAAAAATGATTTGAGAAAATTAAACTATTGGTTATAGATTCAATCTAATATGTTAACTCATCTTCACAGCTGGAGATAAATTCTGGGACTGGTCTTCCTATCTCATCCTTTTGGCCTTGTCCTTTGTTCTCTGTTTCCTGCAGCCCAGCTCTATAAGCAGGCAGATGTGGCCTGTTTGGGGGAGGGGCGCATTTTGTCCCTGAAAACTGCTGGCTTAGATGTGGTTCTGTACTTTTGTCTCTTGGAGCAATTCTTGCCTTTAACACTCATGTTTACATCTGCACTGAACTGCCTTTATACTAGCTCTTGATAAAACTCCTATCAATAACTGAGACCAGAAATCTTAGTTTGGCTTGAATGGAGGTCTCTGATACCTGGAAGAGCTCCCCCCAGGCTCCTGGGGATGGCCACATGGCAGTGGTGCTTTTGTTTCTCTGGCTAGAGGACACCTGCGTTAGATGCAGTAGCACATGGCTTCTTCTGGGGTACCTTGTAAGAACTGATCCCCAAGATGGCCTGAGCCAGTCTCTTGCCTCCAGAACAGCCTGAGACAAAATGAGACAACTACAATGTATTCAGAATAACTTCTTATAAACATTGTTATGTTTATCTTGTAAAAATTACCATGTACTTTTACACATACACTGAACAACCTCTAGATGTCTCTGAGAATTAACTCACAACTGTTCTCTGCAGTGTGTCTTCTTAGAAGCTGGGCAGTGATATGATTTGGGGTTTGTTTCCTTCACAGTCTTCCCTCTCCCTTCTTCCTCATAGGAAGCAAAGGACCACCCTGAGCCTGAGCTGTTGTTGTCACAGAACTGCCAGACCTGCAGACTTGGCATGCTGGTTCCTCTGACTCTGTGCTGTGTGCTTGTGCTTTCATTTCTCTCATTCTAAGTTCCTGTATGCTACTATGGGAAAGGGTTAGCTGTAAACAACTGCAATTGAATTGTACTCATAAACTATTTTCTTATACTCTATGCTTTCGGGATTGTCAGTTTTAAATGGTGTAATTGAATCGTACTCATAAACTATTTTCTTATACTCTATGCTTTCGGGATTGTCAGTTTTAAATGGTGTAATTGAATCGTACTCATAAACTATTTTCTTATACTCTATGCTTTCGGGATTGTCAGTTTTAAATGGTGTAATTGAATCGTACTCATAAACTATTTTCTTATACTCTATGCTTTCGGGATTGTCAGTTTTAAATGGTGTAATTGAATCGTACTCATAAACTATTTTCTTATACTCTATGCTTTCGGGATTGTCAATTTTAAATGGTCTTTAATAATAGACTGATTGTGTATTGCCTTATTAAGACTAAATACTTATTCCATTCTTCACTCTCTCATTTCATGGAATTGTCTTTAATGAAAACTGTTTAAACATTAGCTTGTTTTAATCATACTGTAACTTTTGGCTAGCTTTGAGTGCAAATGAAATGCATAATTCTGTTTTCCATCACTTGTTGAGTTTGAAACTAGTTAGGAATATTTACTGTA